AAAAAAACATTTGAAGCAGTAGCTTTGATAATTGTTTTAATATGCTGCAGTATTCAAGCAAGTGTTTTGATCGGGTATAAGTTTATCGCCAAAAATCTTGTGCAGTCTCCTCAGCATATTAAACAGATTTATTTAATAGTTGAAGAATCATTGAGATTGCAGAGAAAAGTTGTCCGCTTATACGTAAATCGACTGAATGGATTAGGCAAAATTATTGCATTGACAGTTTTCTGTAGCAACTCTGCATAGTTAGAGATATGTCTATATTCTCGTATCATGTATGTGTTCTTCTTTAACTATTGTCTCATGCATCATAGATTGAAATGGTTCCTATGGATAATAATGTTAAATCGGTCAACTACTCGCTTCGTAAGAACAGTGTTGTCGTCGATACAAATGAGGAGCCGAGATCAATTTCGCATGGGCAAAATACAAGAAACGTTCAGAAGATTACCATCGGTCGAAGAAAAAATGACACGATTCAACAGAATATGTATAACTTTTTCCTTTGATGTCAAACACCATCGTTGTTGCTCTTTTCTAGAAAATATTGTTACTGGTCAATGTTGGGTTTCATAACCAAACCTATCTTTGTATTGCCTATGTTCACAAGTATATTTATGACCATTGGTATACTGGTAGTTTGTTTTACTGCAGCAAAACCACCAGGTATGTCCTTGTCGTTTCCATTCTTCGTATTAAATACGATAAAATTTCACAGTTAATTCGGTTCTGTTTTCCCAGTATTGTGAATTTTGGTTAAAAAAGCTCAAATAGTGATAATATTTTATATCGAGATGCTTGAAGCAAACCATCCAGCGAGGACGGAATTATAAGCACTGCAACTGGTTCACTTTTTCATTTCAAATTAGTACTGACGAACGCAAACCTACTAAGATGATCATCATCAGTAGATCTGATACTTTGTCCATAAGTCGAACCTAGCGAGACTAGAAAATGACGAAAAAGGCACAGTTGCTTATAAGGAAACTTCATCAATTGTTATTTCCAATTCGAGCTCATATTTTACTCATGAGAGTAGGGCTCATAGAGTAGAGAAAAATGCCTAAAGGATTAACCCCATTGTTGCTTGGTTTCAGAGGGACAGGCATAAAAAATTTCTCAAAAAAAGAGATGATCGTGTTTTCTAAAAAAGTTGTTTTTCCTATCACAATAAACGAACATTTTCACAAGTTGATTTATTACCAACTCAACTTACGTATGGTCGCTTGTTGCAGAAAGATCCACTTTATCATATTCAGTGTCCTACAGACGAAGGAGAGAAATTCATTGAATCATCACTTCTATTATTTTTGGTAGTATTTTTTTCACATCTTGGAACGATAACAGCAGTTTATTCAGAATTTTGTTTTTCTCTATCTCATCTATGTGTTCTTTTGGCATCATAGATATATGAAACAATAAGAGAAAATACAAGAGATTTTCTCATAGGACGTAGCGAAAGTAAACATATTTTCTCTCTGAGACACATCGTGTTTACATTTTCTAACTGTACGTTGTCCGAAGATGGGAGCAAGCAGATAATAATAGATAGAGATCTACAGGAAGGAGGCTGTTAGATGTGGTCATCATATATACAGTCGAAGAAAATTTCAATTATACCCTTTGATTTTTTTGTTTTTTATTATTATTCGTTTTTGTCTATTAACCTACTATATATAAGAAGAAAGCCCAGAACCTACCGCATCTTTTGGTATATTTACATTGAACATCAAATGCAGTTAAAAATATAAATAGTGTATTAGATGAAAAGGAACATTATTTTACTGCCAAAACCGGGTGCCCATAATGTTGTAACATTTTTTATCTCGCATATATATCTTGGCTTAGGTAGATGATAAAACCTTGAATTTTTTTTTCGAAAGCTGTGCCGTGAAAAGCTCTACAAAACCTGTGTAGATCAAAACCTATAGAGAATCGGAAATGTTCTCGAAATGTTTTCTATATGATGGAAAGTGACACAGCTACCCATAAGTTGTTCATTTTGAGTATAAGAAAATCCATCAGAACAGATAAAATGGAATTCGATCAAATAACTTTTGTAGAGCTTTTCATGGCGCATCTTTCGAAAAACAAAATTCAAGGTTTTATCATTTACCTAAGCCGAGATATTTATACGAGATAAAAGAATGATCTTTTCTTCTAATACACTTTTTATATTTTAAACTGCATTTGATGTTTAACGTAAATATACTAAAAGATGCAGTGCGTTCTAGGCTTTCTCCCTATATATAGTAGGTTAATAGATAAAAATGTATAGTAATAAAAAACAACAAAAATCAAAGGGTATAATTTCAATTTTCCTCGACTGTATATATGTATACATACTGATCTAATTATAACTTCTTTAGTTCTACTAGCATGCCTGAACGTGTATACATTCTCTGTTCTAGCATATTCAGCTACATTTGTTTTCTTTCTCTTTATTCATTTATCGATCATGTATGTTCTCTCTCGTATTCTCTAGTGAGTTATCATCTCTTTATTACATTCTATTGAATGCTTTCCCTTTCTACTATTTGAAATAATAACACATCGCATAAATGCGATCAGATAACACTTTTCTCTCGTTCATAATGGGTTAGTGGTCAACTACTTTCACAATAGTGAAGAAATAGTAAGTACATTTCTATTGAGCCATCATTCAAATATATCGACAATAAAAAATGAGAAATCCTCAGAACATCGTAACAGTATTAAGAAACCTGAAATCAGATGAATTTTTCAGTGATTCATCATCTTCAATCAATTGTAGAATGCAGATGTGGATGTCAATGCTTCTCTTGCCTCTACTGAAGTATACACAGTGGGCAGCAGGCAGTCCACACCTATATTCTAGATTTTTAACCAGTGACAAAATACACCTCGTTCAAAAGAGGTTTTTTAAAATATCATGGGTGTTGGTTTCATATTTCAAACAGATAAATGTTATGAAAAAGAGCTCTATCGATGGTTGATGATGCATTGTTCTTTGTTCAACAAATCTGTGCTTCACTCTGTTTTTCTTAATATCATAACCATTAGACAAATTCATCATTTTCTTAATCTTTTATTTCATTTTCTGTATCATTTTTATTTTCTTACTAAATGAAGATATAGCTAACATTCTTCTGTTTTTATACAACAAGTAACAAGTAGTAGGATGAGTTTGTCAAAGAATTAGTTCCTGAAAATGTTTCTTTATTGAGATGAGAAAAGAAAATTTCTATAAAAATATAATAATCACCTTTTTAGAGAAACTTATTATTTGTGAAGTTTTCTCTAATTTATGACTTCAACCAATGAGCAAAATATGAGCTTAAACAGAATGAATTAGTTGATGAAGTTCATTCATTAGTGTCTTCTTTCTGAATTATACCTGTTACACTGATATTTCCCTATAGATCACAGTATACTAATAAGTCAAATGATGGTATTTTGACCTGATATTTTACTCTCATATATGTTTCATAGTTATTAAAATATCATAAATTTTCTAGCGAAAGCATGCATGTCTCTTGTAGGATAACAATGAAAAATATTCACTGATGTAATTAGAGGATTGTTGTAATGCAGCGGTACTCGAGTTGTTTTGATTTCGAAATGATTCGAAATTTTTGTCATTATAGTATATTTGTGGCTGATAACATGCCATCAAAGGGTCTGTAAGATAGAGATGATAGCAATTCTGATCATGTAGTAAAAGCCAGTTCGTAGCCCTTATGTCAATCATATTATTTGTAATGTCTGTTGTTTCTCAGTCACTATGTAGGTCTCCAACGTGTTCTCTAGTAAATGACAGAAAATGCATGAAGAATAATCTGAGTAATGAATTTCGCAAGACTCAGCGAGATTCAAATAAAAAGCATTGGTATCTATCCAGATTTTGCTGTAATCATCCCACAATATCGATAAGAATATGATCAGAATCATGTGAATCTAATACAATCCACTAATGACTATTGAATTAGAGGAACTGATCCATCTTTATTTTTTTGTTCTTCTGTTATCTAGTCGCAAAATGTCAACTCAACTTCAAACCAACGACCCCAAATCCAGTTGATTATAAGTCTGGTCCACGATCTGTCGCCGTCGGTTACTTCAACAACGACACTTGGCTAGATATTGCTATTGCCAATTATGGTGCCGATCACATAGCTATATATTTTGGATATGGCAATAGGACTGCGACAAGTCCAGTCACATATCCGACTGGTTACGGTTCTGCTCCGTACATGGTCGCCATTAATGATCTTAACAACGATGATCGGCTGGATATTGCAGTCGCAAACTTTGGCACAAACAACATCGGTATACTTCTTGGCTTCGAAAATGGATCTTTTGCAAGCCAAAAAACCTTTTCAACTGCGCCCTCTCGCCCTATTTGGATCCACATAACTGATCTCAACAATGACACAGCATTAGATATTATCACTGCTAACTATGGCACACATAGTGTAAGTGTTTTTTATGGATATGGAAATGGAAGCTTTTCAAAACCAAGCACGTACCCTACGGGTTATGATTCTTTCCCGTTTGCGGTTGTCAGTGGTGATTTTAACAATGACCAACAGCTGGATCTTGCTGTCGCTAATTATGGCACAAACAATATTGGTATACTACTTGGAACTAGTAACAGTACTTTCGCAAATCAAATCACGCTTTCAACTGGTCCGAATTCCCATCCATACTCGATTGCTGTAGGTCATTTAAATGACGATAACATACTAGATATTGCGGTCACCAACAATGGAAATAACAGTGTAGGTGTTTTTCTGGGTCACGACAATGGAACTTTTATGAGCCAAACGACATATTCCCTCAACGCTACTTCTCCATATTCTATTGGCATTGGTGACTTCAACAAGGACAATCGGATGGATTTAGTCGTCACCAATAATGGCACTGACAATATTGCTGTGCTTCTCGGATATGGCAACGGCACCTTTGTAAGATCGAAAATGTATTCAACTGGATCTTCTTCTTCAATCTACGTTGCCATAAGTGATTTCAACAGAGACGATCGTTTAGATATTTTCGTCATCAATAATGACACGAGCAGCATAGATATCTTGCTTGGATATGACGAGGGCTTTCCAATTCAAACTAAATATCCAACTGGTTCTTTTCCAACCTCTGTAGCTGTCGGTGACTTTAATAACGACACCGTATTGGATATTGTCGTTACCAATTATAATGAAAACACTGTAAGTATACTTCTCGGATATAGCAATGGATCTTTTGCAGAACAAGTAAAATATTCCACTGGCACTAGACCATATTGTGTAGCTGTTGGTGATTTTAATAACGACACTCGACTGGATGTCATTGTCATTAATCATGACAACCACAATGTAAGTATATTTCTCGGATATGGTAATGGCTCTTTTGAGAATCAAACGACATATTCTACCGGTGCTTATCCGCGTGGTTTAGCTGTTAGTGACTTTAACAACGACACCCGACTGGATATCGTCGTCGCTAATTATGCTGACAGTACTATAAGCGTACTTCTCGGCTATGGCAATGGTTCTTTTGCAAATCAAGCGACATATTCTACCGGTGCTTATCCGAGTGGTTTAGCTGTTAGTGACTTTAATAACGACACCCTATTGGACATCGTCGTTACTAATGCCAATAGCAACACTGTAAGTGTACTTCTAGGATATGGTAACGGCTCTTTTGCAAATCGAGTAGAATATTCAACTGGCACTGATCCAGAATTTGTAGCTGTTGGCGATTTTAACAATGACAACTATTTAGATATCGTCGTCACTAATTTTGACGACAACACTATAAGTGTACTTCTCGGATATGGTGATGGCTCTTTTGCAATGCAAACGACATATTCAACTGGCGACGCGCCAAATGGTTTAGCTGTCGGTGATTTCAATAACGACACCAGACTAGATATTGTTGTAAGTAATTCTGGAAATAATACCGTAGGCGTATTCCTCGGATATGGTAATGGCTCTTTTGCCAGTCAGACGACATATTCAACTGGTGCCTATCCAATCGCCTTAGCTGTTAGCGATTTTAACAACGATGCTCGGTCGGATATCGTCGTCACTAATTTTAATGATCACACTGTTAGTATTCTGCTTCGTTATGACAGAGGAGCTATGAAAAACGAAATTACATTTACGCCCAGCACTGGCGCAAATTTGAGAAGCGTTGTCGTTTCTGATTTCAATAACGATAGTCTATTGGATATCGTCGTTGCTAATTATGGTAGTAATAACCTAGGTGTCAGTGTTGGATATGGAAATGGTACTTTTGGAAACGAAATGATATTCTCAACTGGATTAAAATCTCATCCTTACTCAATTGCAATTAATGACTTCAATAAAGACGGTCAAATGGATATTGCAGTGGCCAATCATGGTACTGAAAGTCTTAGTACATTTCTGGGAAAAGGAAACGGAACATTTGAAAGTCAAGCAAATTATAGTACTAGTTTCGATTTTGCTCCATTGACTGTTGGTGTTGGTGATTTCAATAGTGATGGACATTCGGAAATTGTTGTTGCATATGATGATACAGATAATTTGGATATGTTTGTTATATATGACATCGGAGATTTTTCTCATCGAACGACATATTCAACTGACCCTTGGCCAACCTTTGTAGCTTTTGGTGATTTTAATAACGATACTCGACTGGATATGGTTGTTACTACTGGGTACTACGGTAATGTAGCTGTATATCTTGGATATGGTAATGGCTCTTTTGCAAATCAAATGACATATTTAGTTGGCAATTACCCATACTCTATAGCTGTTGGCGATTTTAATAACGACGACCGATCAGATATCGTCGTCACTAATTATTTGGACAACACTGTAAGTGTACTTCTTGGATATGGCAATGGCTCGTTTGCAACACAAAAGACATTTTCAGCTGGCAATTCCCCATCCTATGTAGCTGTTGGTGATTTTAACAACGACAGCCGACTAGATATCGTCGTCGCTAATACTGATAGCGATTCCATAAGTTTACTTCTAGGGTATGGCAATGGCTCTTTCGCAAGTCAAGTGAATTATTCAACTGGCTCTCCGTCATTCTCTGTAGCTGTTGGTGATTTTAATAACGACATCCGACTGGATATCGTGGTCGCTAATTTTGATAGCAAATCTATAAGTATACTTCTCGGATATAGCAATGGTTCTTTTGCAAGACAAGTGAAATTTTCCACTGGCACTGCACCATTATGTGTAGCTGTCAGTGATGTTAACAACGACAGCTGGCTGGATATTGTCGTCAGTAATCGTGATGATAACACTGTAAGTGTACTTCTCGGATATGGTAATGGCTCGTTTGCAAGTCAGACGATATATTCAACCGGTAATATGCCACTTTACGTAGCAGTTGGTGATTTAAATAATGATACTCGACTGGATATTGTTACCAATAATTATCGTGACAACACTGTAAGTGTGCTTCTAGGATATGGCAATGGCTTTTTTGCAAATAAAATGACATATTCAATTGGCACTACCCCATTCCGTTTAGCTCTTGTTGATGTGAATAATGACGGCCGACTGGATATTGTCTCCCCTAATCACAGCGGCGGAAGTGTAAGTGTACTGCTAGGATATGTCAAGCAAACTTTTGTAAAACAAACGACGCTCATAACTGGCAATGGGTCTCGACCAATGTCATTCGCCACTGGGCATTTTAACAGTGGTAATCAACTGGATATAGCAGTCGTGAATTCGGGTGCTAATACTATGGGTATTTTTTTGGGATATGGCAATGGCTCATTCGCAAATCAAACGGTATTTCCAACTGGCTCTACTCCAGTGTCTATTGCTGTTGGTGATTTCAACAATGATACCATATTGGATATCGTCGTTGCTAATTCTGGCAATGACACTGTTGGAATATTTCTTGGATACGGTAATGGTTCTTTCTCAAGCCAAAAGATGTTTACGACGGGCTTCGCATCTTTACCTCGCATGGTGGCTGTTGGTGATTTTAACAACGACACTTTACTAGACATTATCGTCGCCAATTATGGCACCAACAATGTTGGTGTGCTGCTTGGATATGGTAATGGTTCCTTCGCTGACATAAAGATTTTTTCGACCGATTATGGATCTCGTCCATTCTCGGTTTCTGTCGATGATTTTAACAATGATGGAAAGCTAGATTTCGCGGTCGCTAACAAAGGTACTGACAATTTAAAAATTTTCTTACAGACTTGTTAATATTGCAATTGCTAACTTACGATTCTTTTTCTTCTATTTACTGTTTCTAACTTTTACTTAGTGTTATCAATATTTCTTGTAAGTTTTTTATTATTTATCTCTCGATTTATATATCCATATAAACTATGAGTGAGCGCTTAGAAGTGAAACAAAATGTGATGCGTTTCCATCTTACTTGACAGTACCATGAGATAGTTTTGGCTTCATATCTGCTTTATGTTAATTCACGAAAATAGAATACTCAAATAGTTAGTAAGATAGGTATGAAATGAGATGTGTTTGAATGGCCACCATGATTTAGATTTACGCGGATATTATGTATGGAAAAGAGCGATTAACAATGCAATGAAATCAGGAACAAGAAAGAAAATTTGTTTGTTTCTATTCAAAAGAAAAAAACGAATCAGTCTTGAAATGAAATGAGATAAGAAAAAAAAGAAGAGTAACTGTACGATAAATATGAAAATAGAAAACTACCATGGTCTAGATTTTTTCTCGTCTATGAGAATCATGAGATTGCAAACAATTCTATACGATTTTGACAAAACACCAGAATCAGAATATATTCTGTTATATGTCCATAAATGGAGTGTATATGATGTTAATTTCAATGCATAAAAGTATGAATAGCTTTTGTAGTCAATGCAGAAATTACCATGTCGTTCTTGGGAGGGGTGAGATATGTGGATTGATAAAGAAAAGATCGATATATCTGTACAAACAGTCACGCTCTACAAGTTAAGTCTCACAGAGTAATTCGTCACTTGTACCAAATATCTATTTAACTCCCTACCAGTGATCGACACCGGAAACAGACAAACTTACAAGGTATTCTCAATGGAACTCATCGTTCATTACTTTCTCATTTATCGATTCAATCGAAGTTCTCTTAGAAAGTTTGATTAAAATGCAGATCTAAAGATTACAATTTCTAGACAACGTGCTCTTTCGTTCAGAAACGCTGGTACAAGTCGATCTATTGATGATTGATTTTGAATACGGGTGTGATAAAGGTGCAGCGGCGATGGCGATAGTTGTCAATGTTGTCTCTTCACGAGTGATCATTTTAAACTGCATGTAGTCGATGTACAGGTCGATTACGTTATTTTTACTAGTTTTCTTCAGCTTACTGTATTTCTGCAAAATATAATACGCTTTTTATTAATATATGACTGGATAGAGCATTCATTTCTCTATCGATCGGTATATTTTTTATCTGATTTATCTCTCATCTTGACCAAGAATTTAGCGAAGTTCTCAAAGCCCTCAAAAAATTTTTTTTACGGTGATAACGTTTGTCGCAAGGAAAAATTGGGTCTCTTAGTATTTTTAAGATTTCTCCTCTATTACCCTTGTGATTAAAGTTCTTTTTATTATCAAAAGATAGCGCTTGAAATTCTCTACAAAACTATATATGACTAGGCCCAAAAACAGTTTTAGATATATTTGAAAAAAGACGAAAACTAAAGACATACAAACAGCTGTAAAAAGTAAATAACGTATGTCCCATAATAAATGGCCGCACTTTGCATTTCATATTTTAATCTCTAAATACACTTTATTAAAAAAAACACAATATATCACAAGATGCAGCGTGAAAAGCTCTACAATCTAGAAACTAAAGTTTATTTTAATTGTACACTTTTTGTTTTCAAAAAAAAGCAAAACTCTGCGACCAATTCTGCCATTGTGAAAAGATCATTTTTTTTATATGAATGAAAATTCCTTTTTCTTATTTTCTCTTTTTATCACCTAATATGTTTCTTTTAAAAAAACCAAAATATGCCACAAGATGTAGCGTGAAAAGCTCTACAGTTTACAAAGCACAATTTATTTTACTTGTGTACTTTTTATGTTCAAAAACACTCAAAATTCTGTGCGATTAATTTTCGCATCGGCGAAAATTGGTCGTACAGAGTTTTGAGTTTTTTTGAACATAAAAAGTACACAAGTAAAATAAACTTTAGTTTCTAGATTGTAGAGCTTTTAACGCTGCATCTTGTGGTATATTTGTTTTTTAATAAAATGTATCTAAAAATTAAAATACGAGATGCAAATTGCGGCCATTTATTATGGGTCGCGCATTTACTAGGGATGTACCGAGACCGAGAACTCGGTCTCGGTCAGTCTCGGTCTCGGTCTGTCTCGGTCTATCTCGGTCTCGGTCTATCTCGGTCTCGGTCTATCTCGGTCTCGGTCTATCTCGGTCTCGGTCTGTCTCGGTCTCGGTCTGTCTCGGTCTGTCTCGGTCTATCTCGGTCTATCTCGGTCTGTCTCGGTCTCGGCCTCGATACCATTGAGTTTCGTTACATGACATAGCGGCATAAAATTTCTTCACATAGATGGACAGTTTTTAGTGTGAATAGTCTACGAGACTTAAGGAGGGTTTCATTGCGAAACACTCCTCTTAGCTCCATGTATCAGTTTGTAAAAACCAACGGCCCAACCAAACTTATGATTGTGTAAGTGTCGATCAAAATTTCTGTATTTTTTAGCTCTTAAACGAAGACTGGTTAGAATTTGGCCTATTCTTGGACCTAATCGGTCTGTTCGATTGTATAAGAAGTTAGATTAAGCCGAGATAAACAGTTCACAATAAAAAATTTAGTTACTCTCGTAGTTTCTATGCAGAGAAAAATATTCATCTTTGGATGCGACACCTCAATTTTAATAAATGTCAAAATGTTGATCAGAATTAAAACTAATGTACATATCATTCTGTAGCAAAGGAAGGTGTGGTATCAACTTTAGTTATAGCCTTTAGAACTCAACATGGATGCCAAAAATATTTAGTCATTCTCATTCTTATAAAGTGCAAGAGGGCAGAAATATTTTTATGAAAGCAAATTTACTTTTATTAAAAGTATTTGTACATGGAAACACTGTCTCAACTCTAAGTTACAGAATCTTCTAAACTTAGGATCAGGCAGTATAGAATTCATCGATAATAATTCTTATAAGAGAGAGAAATATTTCATTTTACAATTTATTATCTAAATATCTTTGTCAAAAAAAAAATCAAATAAAAAATTATCCATAAAAAAAAGCATAAGTACTAGATTGTCTGCTGTAAGAAAAAATACAAATATGTAAGAGTTAATAACATAATATTAATATTATACAAGTTTTTCCTTTTATCATTTAGTTCATAAATCAGAAAATTTCTACACTTATAACAATATAATACACAAGAATAAATCATATATCTAATGAAAACTTTTAAGAAAACTTAGAAGAAGTTATAAAAAATCACGTTGAGTCTTCTGTTGAAAACTACATTTTTTTTGTCACTTTATCCTTTAAAAAAACTAATCTACAAAGATTTTCAGGTGTTAATCGATTTCGTTCTTTTCGTCCAAGATACGAAGCTATGCTAAATGTTGATTCTGATGGAACTGATGTACTTGGAACGATTAGATGCTTTCGAGCCAAAACAGATAAAAATTTGAGCTTTTGACTATGTAGATTCCAAAAAGCAAATGGATCATATTCTTTAGAATCTGCAATAATATCATTGAATTCTTGCATTGCTAAAGAACGGTAAATTGATAATTCATCAGTCAATGATAAGTTTGTGCCTTCTTTGATAATACCGGGTCGACGTTTACCAAGTGATGAAAGAAAACCTTGTAATAAGTTAGACTTTGGCTTGGACTTAGCTGTTGTAGCAAAGCCAAAAACAAATGAATTAGGACTTGTTGATGATGCCATATATTCCGAATGCAATTTTTTTATTTCACGTTCAATTTTTGTTCGATCTACACGATCCAATACACCAAAACCAAGAGGATCATAAAAAGCATAACGCTAAAATTGAAGAAGAATAACACGACATATTAATTGATCTCTTCCAAATGTCTACGAGAAATATCTCGTGAGACAAATAAAAATAATGATGGGTTGTAGTAGTTAACTGGTTGTTTCTGCTTTTTGAAAAAAGAATCTATGTCATCGTTCTAAAGCTCGACATTTGATATAAATCTTGTTGGACAGTATGCTCATAAAGAAGTAAAGAAATAGTTTATACATTTTATTAATTAAAAATAGCAATTGATATCAGATTTGGATACAAAAATCTATTGCTAATTATCAAAGAATCGCTCGAATATCAATAATGAAAAGAAAGAACTATAGTCAACCTCTGTAGAAATATCTATTTATAATATTTTCATCCATATATAATATCTTTTCATATCATTTCTGTTAACCAAAATCAATTTTAACTACGATGTTTATATTCAAGTATTTCGTTCTACGAGAGACTAATAAAAAGAATTGTCATTTACTGATGGATACTCAACGATCAAGGTCAATATAGGCGGCTGTTACATTAGAGATTTATCAATCATAAAACATCTACCATTGTTTGAGTTAGTGAAAGTAAAAGTAACAGCAAATATGGCACTACAAATTTTTATTTTTTATAGCACGTGAATTATTTGTTAGTTTTTGAGATAAAATTCATTTATTTTTTGATGCATGATATCGAATACTAACTGAAAGATACAAAGATACAAGCCGAGTTCAAAGAAGGAGGGATTTAATAGGTATTAGCACCTTCATTTCCATTAGTTTCTGTGCTGACAGAATCTTTTGACTATTTCTTCAATCTAAATCTATTTGAATAAGAAAGAAACTGTATTGTGTTAAAAATATTGCATAAAAATGTTAAAAACTCATTCATTTTCTTTTTTTGTCTTAACTGATCTACTATAGGTAAAAATAAAAACTTTCTCGAGTGTTAATCGTTTCTGTGCTTCAATATTTTTTTTTTGTAATGCAACAGAAAATAATAAACTGATTATTTTTAAGATCTTTCTTGTCAACTTTAATAGACTGAGCACAAATATCAACAAAATTGAGCACATATTTTACCTTTAATAATTCATATTGATCGGAGTCATTTTCAAAATAATTTATGAGTTGATTAAGTAACAAATCTTTGAGTTCATCAATTTCATATTTTCCACTTCGTTCTTCTAACTTTTCTTTAAGACTGGTGATAGAAAAAAGTCCAAGTCCAATGGTACTATATTTTTTGCCACTAATTAGCTTTGTTGCTTCGGAGAATGATTCAAGAACTTCGTTCACATGTTCCAATATTTCCCATTCATCTCGATTGAGTTCAAATTTTAGCAGTCTAAAAATAAAAATACCGTTTGCGAATTATATTAAACTTACAGTATACTGTTGTACACAAGTAATTGATAATATGTCTTCACTAACATCTTCTTCCCAATTTTCATTAATCAAATCGGACGTTTCACTTGAATTATCAGGTACATCAGAATCTTTATCAGTTGATGAATCTTCATCATCCATTATATCAGGACCATCATTAGATGTCTCATCATCAACAGTACTATATGCATTATCGAAATCTTAACAAATGGTTGGAAAGAAAAGAAAATATAATATGTTTTTTTTCTACAATTTTTTTCCTCCTGATAACAAAAAATGTTTTGATACTTACTATGAGAATCATTTGTATTATTCGTATTAACATCATGAAAACTTTCATTATTTTCTTCACCAGTTGTTGATGATTCAGATAGTTGTTGATCTTTTACCCATAAGCAAAGAGCATTGCATACTACCAGGTGTAATTTGTGACCTAAACATTGTAATCTTTTAGGTTTAAGAGTATTAAATGATTTTTTCATATTTGATGCACCATCGCATGTAATTACATTTGTTTTCTCATAAACTTGTAACCTTTTAAGTTGTTTTTTAATAGTATAAGAAATATGTTCACCTGTGTGTCGTTCAGGAAAAATCGTAAATGATAAAACTTTTGAAGTTAATTTTGAATCAGAATTTATATAATGTCCTGTTAAACACATGTATGAGTTTACTTTTTTATCTGACCATAGGTCTGTAGTAACAGCTAATGCATCAATATATTTCAACTCGGTGAGAAGTATTTGCTCATGATTGTTATGAAGTCTTTTCAACTGACGTTGTACTGTTCGACGAGTAGGTGCCTTATAACCTAAAAAAAATATCAAAACATTTGAAAAGATTCACATGTTGGTATCAAATGAGACCGAAAACTCGGAATTTGCTATGCAATGGCAGTATTCCAGGTTATGAGAGCTCAACTAGAAATATTCTTATAAAAATTGTTCTTTAATCTATTATAAAAATGTAATGTAACCATATGTTGAAAACCATTTTTTTATTGAAATATAGACTATTTTATTCTTTTTATTATTAATGCTGAAAAGAAGAAGATCAGATTTTATTGAATATTTTTGGATCATGTATAACTCTTTAAAATCAAGCTTGCAATGCGTTTTATGGAAAGATCCATACTAATAGAGTCCTACACAAGTCTCATTAACTTTCGCACCCTTTTAAATAGTCAAGAATTTGAATAAGTAACCAGAATTATAGTACATGTAAACCAAAGGCAAGTTTAAAAAATTTTCCTCTTTCTCTTATATGTATCTTGATACTGTGAAAATGGTGAATGCAAGCACTGGGGTAGTTCCGAACATGTACGAAATGAAGATTTCTTTAGCTCTTCTTACTCATGTGGATGTACAATTAAATAATAAGATACGATAATTTTCATCCGACTAAGCTGCAGAATGAATTGATTTCAGATTTCAGAGAAATTAATTTCAAGGTCAAACTGGAAAACTCGTTAAAGATCAAAATTGATATGACGATGTGAAACTCTATGCGAATATTAAAGAAAATAGATTCGAACAAAAAATTGAAATATT